TTTATTCTTCGTTATCTACTAATTTTACAGTCGCTTGGTATATTACATTGTCTTGTAAGCAATTGCCTTTGAATGGGGCATTCGTTCTTTGTTCTGCAGTTTCACGTGGGTTTGATTTGTTCGAGTGATGTGTTGGTTGCTTTTTATTATTTGTATCATGTTCTCGGTGCATATGTAGCTGATTTTTACAGTGTTTCTTTTATATTTTATGGAGAGTGCTTGATGCGGGGAAGTGTTTGTGTATGAGTATAATGTATATTTTCCTACTTTTGTTTTTACGTTTTTGTTGTACTGTAAGTTGAACCATATGCTGATTCTTTTCCTGTTGTACTTTTTAGCTGTGTGGTGTGTACGTAAGCATTGACCGGAATCCACTACATTTTAGCGTAGATTCGTAGTCTTTCTTGGCTTTGTTGAAGTTGCTTTCACTAGAATAATTGTCAGAAATCCTGCGGTTAAATAATTGTTTAATCCGTTTAAATATTGATGGCAGGTTGTTGAAAGATGTGTGTATATAAAGTGTTTTGTCATTTGATTTTCTGTATGTTTATATGTACATTTTCTTAGGATGAAGTTGGCATCTAGAACATTACTTCTTTCTGATTAATTTTCTGTTTTCGTCAGTATAATGTTTGTTACAGTTAATACGGATTATAGGGCCGTCGTCCCTGTAGAGGCCTATATCATTTTAATCGATTTTTTTACTTAGTTTGTGTAGCAAATATATAACTATGTATTGTCAGAGTCCCTTCTTTCTTTTCCACGCATCTTCATTGTCGATTTATAGTGATTTTAGCAGTGTTTAATGATTTGTATTTCTTTTGTGTTTATTTTTATTTATTCTTGAGCTATGAGTTTCGTTATAGAATGATAAAATTAATTTATAGCTAGTTGTATAAATTGTAAATGATATTCTTTTTTTTAGGTTGCGGAACTATGTAGGTTTTGTGTTTTTCACTGCTTTACTTCTAACTTTATCCTTAGCGCTGAATTACTTCATTCTAGTATTATTTTATTTATTTTACCTAGCCAACTTTGCTTGAGTTGATGAGTTTCAATATTAGGTTTGTTCTGAAATGTTCCTTGTGGTCTTCTAGTGGCATAACTATCTAAAACGAATATCCATCCCATTTCCATCCACATACACATCAAAATTAATACAAAAATAGAAAGCTTGATAAAAATATATGAGAGTGAAAATACATTTCTTTTTAAACGAAGAACTTAGAACAAATACTACACTCATACAAAAATACGGCTTTAAATCAAAAATAAAAATGTTATCCCAACGCAACACAAACAACTAGACATATTCCAGAAAGACTTGACTATCTTAAAAAGTAATATAAAATTTCAAAATCAATTACATACCTTCCAAAAAAAAACAAACAAACAAAAAAATCTTAAAGAAGATATAACTAAAATAAACAATTCACCTAAGGTATTTATCGCAACGGACAAAACAAGAAATTCTTGCGAAGGAAGCCTCCTAAAACGCATCAATGGAAACATAGCTAAAACATACAAAAAACACCAAAAACAACAGAATATGATATGTATATAGAAGCTAAAACAATTGTCCAAACATTAGACCTTGACGATCGAATAAATTCCATCGCAAAAATTTAAGCATTTACCACAAATTAGAAAGTCACTGATATTGTATAGAGGAAGTCTAGTGACATGGTTTGTGTCAGAATGTGTATGGCTTACATTTACCAAGATGCAGTCTCTCTGGTTTAGATTGGCTTAAGTCTTCCATAATAGAATGTCTCCGAAATTTTATGACAAACGTTTACCAAGATATAGTTCCTTCGAAAATGTCATGGCTAAAATTTACTAAAGTGGATAATCTCTGAAAACGAATGCCTAAAGTCTAATAAAATATATAATTTTTCAGATATTATATGGTTAATTCACAAATAATGAAGGGATTGGTGTGAGATGCCACTGTGAGAGAGAGGGGAACCTGTTGACGCCCTCTGAGGGGAATGGTGTGAGATACCAATATGAGAAAGGAAGAATTTGGGAGGACGATTCCCTTTAAGTAGAAAGTAAGGACTTCCAAAAATGGAAAGTAATAAATTTTCCTGTTCGAGAACAAAGAACATCCTTATTGTGGATTTAGAATTATCAAGGATCCTCAAACCCCGACAAGCCCACCCCGGTTTTGGTCGGCGTCCATATAAGCAGATTCGCAGCGAGTAGACGGCAGTTGGAGTCAGAGACAGGCAAGCAGTTGCAGAGTGAGAAACAGAGACACAGTTGGCAGACGCAGACAGAGTTGAGCTGTGAGCCCTGAGACCCACCTCGCAGAAAGCTGACTGAAAGATCCACGCATCACGATCTCAACTTCAAACCAAGAACAATTTATTTTTGAAGAACGACTTAGACTCACACCACCAAAACAAGTTTTACGAATATCGCCTGAAGATACACCAAAAACCAGTTTCTTAAAGAAAAAAAAACAACTTAATATGTTAAGACTCGCCTAAAAAACGCAAAGTTTCACGTATCCATATTAGCGGGTTGTGAGAAAGACGCAGTCCTATATTCAGCAACCAGATATAAAATACTGTTATTCTTTTTTTAACACATTTGAACTTTTCAAGTTGTTACTTTATTTTCTTTTACATATACTTGTGCGGTATTACCCTTGTTCAGACTCGACTTGCATTACGGCCCGGCGACTGATTGATTTCGTCTACCTAAGATCAAATCACAACGTGGGTAGGTTAGACTACAAATCAAAGCAGTTACTTCGGTAACCAGACGTTGGAGGCGAGCTGGGAACGACAAGGCTGATACCGAATCTAACCAGATTCCCATCCGAATCAGCAAAATTTTAGAACGTCACATTTGGTGCCGCGACCAATACCAAGTCACATTGGTCGTCGCAGGATAGGACGGCGACGGGGCAGACAGACGGGGTGGGTCACATATGTGTGTGTGTGTATCTGTGTGTATGTGTGTGTGTCTGTCTGTCTGTCTGTCTGTCTGTATGTATGTATGTATGTATGTATGTATGTATCTGTTTATACTTCTGAGATGAAGTATTATGCACACTCCAAATTCTCCTCTGCCTTAACCGGATATTGAACTCACTCTCTTTGGGTCCTGTCACTGGATCTAACTAACGCCTTTATCCACTATGGAGAACTTGAAGAGGGCAATTAACAGGCGATAACTGATAATTGGCATCCATTAAACATGGCACGTGGAACTAGAACAGTCTACGCCAGTGAGCGAAATAAAGGGTTCAATTCTACATTCCACCCACTTGAAGAAGGCCGGAGCGTACAACGGCCAAAACGTTGTGATAAATATGGCGATGAGGACAATAGTCCGAATAATGTAAAGAATGTATGTATGTATATATTGTTCTCATTCGATCTCTGAATTTAAGCAGCGTTTAGCCTGATGAGTACCTGCAGGCTATAAGTTTGGATGTGCGTGTGGTGTAATGGATAACAGATTGAGAAAACGTTGGCTTGGATCAAATGGCAGTACAGATTGGAACCTATAGCTGTGGTCTGCGATCTTTTTAGGAGAAGGGAAAGTCTGAATCCAAACCCGCGAGAGGGTGGGATGAGTTTATTGGTACCAACAACGGTCAACATGATTGTAATATCATAATCTGACAAGTACTTTTATTACTTCTGTTTTTTTCTGCGATTCACAGTTTTTTTTTTATTGTTTCCTGGATAAAATTGAACATTAAATGTATTATGTATTCCGAATGATTAAATCTGGCATACATTGAAAAGAAACACGGCCCCACAAACTGCCACGTGAAGACGGAATACTTGAAATAGCCACAGGACAACCATCTATGCGTGAATATAGGAGACTCAAAAATCGCCAGAGAAATACAATGTTTCTGAACAGACACAACGCTAACAATAACTGAACCTATTTAATAATGGCTAATGTAAAAATAAATCGCTTAGGAGACATTGAACAATACACCAGTAAACTACCGTTATCACACTGATTTTTGAAAACCAGTTTTGACGTACTAATTCGGTTATATTACATGATGTTTCAGAATACGAAGGCTATGTCAGCGATTGGCGGGAGACGCTTTGTCGGGGCATTCTGGTTGCTTTTTTCTGTGTCTTGAATATAATTCCAAAATGGCGCAAATTCAACAGAGTTTCACAAAAATTCTGAAGCTCTATATGCCTCCCACTCCCAGATTTGCAACCGGCTAATACCACTCACGGATGGACGCTGAGTCAACGTGCGAGATGCGTCCCTGTCACATCCGTACTCCAACGGCCTCTTAAATTCCAAGCGGCCACTCTTAAAACGAATTCCAAATGCATATGACCCTTTTCGTTGATACCGGTTTTTATTAACAGCATAAGGATCTCGAGACGACACAGAACGCAAGAATGATTCAAGTAGCCAGTTTCAACAATATTTGCATTATTTACAGTTGCACTTACGTCCTCACTTTTTTTTTTGCCCTCCGGAAATAAATTTATCTCGCCTCACTGGGAAATGTATAGGGATATCTCACTTTGTTGATTGACTGATTCATTCGTTTTCTATGGCTTATCAACACTTTGCAGGTTATTTAAAGCCATATTTTCTTCTCATATTTTAAGATATTTTTTTTTTGTTTTATGAGAAAATAATTTAGTTGTACAAATCTTACAAATTAACCTATAACTAGCGAGAGAAGTGTAGGATTCATACATTTCCCAAGGGCATTTACGCATGAGTTAATATAACGAAGCCAACTGCAATTGGATATCGACTCTCCAATAAAAAAAAAAATCTGTGTAATTACTTATTAAACCACTCCGACATCAAAGCTTATAACACATGTTATACCCAAGCGATCACCCGTCAAGGTACTGGTCAGGCCGGTAATTACATAACTTCGGTGATATTACGGGAACTGGTATTTCCAATTGATTTGGCCGTAAGCCTTCGCTTTTTTCGTGGTTAGCTCTTACTAAAAACAAATTCTATAAGTTTCTAAATTTCAGCCTCCTGGTACACAAATTGGAGAACTTCTTATTCCTGTGAATCTTTTCTCTTTTCACTTTTATAAAGCTGATTTGTATTTTATCCTTAGATTTTTATTTTTATTTTTCTTCAATGTATTTATCTATTTTCTCTGTTGTTCCGATTTTGCCAAAGGTTAACATTGTTTACAGTTGATCTCACAATCTGCTGTTAACTAGAGCAAGAAACGACTTATTAATTTTAATTCAAAACGAAACTGCTCTCTGTTAATCGTCTGAGAGAACATTTTCTGGCTTCCATCAATATGGCTGATGTGGACTAACGTCTTCTACTGACATTAAGTGAAAATATGATATTGAATCAATCGCTAGGTTTGCTGATAGGAAATTTAGTTAATTGGCTTATGCCTGTAAGCTTTTGTCGCGACTGAATATATCTTCAGTCAGTTATGTGCCATGCATGATACACGCTTAGGCGATCATGTATCTTTCGATATATGACTGACGAAGCAGTTTTTTTCCGCAGTGGGTTGACCAGTTGCCATTGAAGGCTATAGAACATAGTCTGTCCTGTTAAGCCAGAGCTGAGGCGGAGTGGAGGAAGAAGAATATTCACACCATTCCCAAGGGTATTACCACGGAAGTGAATGTAACGGATTCGATTGGAATTCGAACTCGGCTCTCCGATTCCTCAATCTGAGCCGCTATCTATTACTCCACGGTGCTTTATATATCTTACACATTTATAATGTGCCATTCGTCTATGCAATGAATATTGATGTCACATCTGGTCTATTGTATCTACAGGTTCAGGTTAAAAGATATTGCAGTGTTATTGGTCTTGATATGGCATCTCGGCTTCAGTCACATCTTACCGTCGTAACTTATCTTCCCTGCGCATTTTCTATAAATGACTTCATGGTAATTGTTTAAATGAGTTTTTCTCTTTGGTAGTTTGACGTTTTGAATTTCAGCGAAGTACTAGAGGGGCTGCAAGGTTTCATCATTTTACAAATGAAATGACTTGATTTAACCGCATGTTCTATGCTAACAGTTTCTTCTCTCGAACTGCTCGCACGTGAAATTATCACTCTCTGTTTCTTCCTTTCCAGTAAACATTGATACTTTAAAATTAAAATGCAGTGCCAATCCTTATCGACTGTCTTCTCAATTCTCATTTTGTTTATTGTTCTCTCTCCTTAATAATGTTTTTTTTTCTTCTTGTATTCCGCAACTGTCAGTAATACTTTTTATTTCCTTCTTGGAGTGAACTGATAAAAGGGAAAAAATATTTGTTCCGTGTTATCCTTTTTATATTTTTAAGCGTTTTCCAAAGTAGCACTCCCATAATCCAATAACTTTAGTGTATATTATATCTCTTTAGAGATTATATCTTTCTTACGGCTTGCATAATTCTTGAGATGTTATATCATTCAAGATCTGATTTCTGAGAAGGAACCAATTTCCAATCTTAATTGCTGCACAGCATGATTTTTCTTCGGATGTAAACAGGCTTTTAACGTGGTTAACGATTGTTTATTTTGTTTCCTCCGTGTATAGCAGTTAATTCTGGGCAGTTTCCTTAAAAATAAATGGAGTCGAAGTGAGAGATATGTTCTCTAGTCAAATGCCTCGAATGCCGTTGACAGAACATATGAACTACGGTCGGGAATTTCTACCGAATGAAACAATTCAAAGCAGAAATGTTTAGTTGAAATTTCTGGGAAATATAATCAAGCAAGACGGTTTGGGAAATTTAACAATGACAATACAAGCAAAATAGTTTTTTTTTTTTAAAGCATTACACCCCAAGCAAGGCGGAAGTGCCAATAACACGCAAGAGACTGAGAGCAAGAGTAAATATGTTGTTTTTTTTTCAGGAAAGGATATAGAGAAGGACGGGGATCAGGGTCAAGGCATCAGAAAATGTCGATTGACATTAGATTTGAATATTTGAAGATACAAGCTATCATGGAAGCAAGTAATAGGAAGGGAGTTCCACTGTCGGGAAGTGAGAGAGAAGAAGCTTTTGGAGTGGAAGTGAAGGTTACATTTAACTGTTTCGACAGTTAAAGTGCGTCGCGGAGATGCCAACCTATTAGCACCCTTAAATGCATGCAGTTGGGGTACCAATGAAAATAGCTCGTCAGAGCAGATGCCATGAAAATATTTGTAGAAAAGACAGAGGGAAGACACATCGCGTCTGTGAGAAAGTGACTGTAGACAAAATGCCACGTCAGGACATATTATATAAATCGTAGTAAATCACATATAATAAAGCAAAGGAATAAATCAAAATGACAGATAGCAGCAATAATATTTCTTACAATAATAATAGTTAATCATGCAGTGATCGCCAATATGATTAAGATCCCTCATATCCGGAACCCCTCATATCCGGAATTCCGCATATCCGGAATCCCGCATATCCGGACATGATTTTGATGTGTATATTTGAACTATTTTCGTGACAGGTAACTGAATTGAGATTTCTGTTTTTCAGGAAATTTACTTTGGATATAAGAGGAAAAAAAAACAATGTTGGAGTCATCGCAAAAAGTGGAAATTTTAAACAAAGTAGACTCAGGTGAATGTTTTAACTAATGGCTGAGTTCAACATAGGAATGACATCGTTGTATGATATAAAATCTTCCAAAGAAGCTATTCCCCGGCATTCACACTGTCACAACAAACAAGGAAATAAAAAAATTAAAAAAAACATGATCGTGAGGAAGCTGTACTGAAATTGAAAAAACTATTGAAAATGCCGTCAGTTTTATGGAAAGAAAGCCAACATTCAGCTATGACGATGGCAAAAGTGTCTTAGTTAAAAAGTGGCTTTCGTTTTAAAAAATATTAAGGAACAAAAGCAAAACGAAATGCGGAAAAATTTCAGAATGACATCACAAGAGAAACAATCATTATGCAACAGCGATTAAAAAATCCTTGTTACATTATTTGTTTTGCATACGTGGCATACTTAATTTAATGACATTAAATTAACATTACACAATGTATTTCTATTTCCTTAAAATCATTTCCGTTATATTTCACTCACCATTAGCTCTTTTTGTTTCCTATAAAATAATGAAAATAAATGTTAAACCTGATTTCAGTTCTTTTATTTTAATCTCAATATAACCCCTCATATCCGGACTTTGTAACCAATTCATCATATCTGAAAAGCCTTCTTAGTTTAGTTGTTAAGGATTCTACTGTAATATAAAGCTCACGCCACGAAATAAAAGGATTAATTTTAAGCTCAGAAATACATCAATAATATTTTTTAAAGACATAAATTATGATTTTCAATGGGATCGCCTCTTAGCCCAGTATTAGCTTATGCTTTTAATTTCGAATTTCAAGAAATTAGCTCTTTTAAAAAGATTTTCCTAAACAATCTATATATTTCCACTACTTTTTAAACATTTCCCACCAAAGCGAAGCGATGAAGACACTGTGAAGCAAGGGTTTACTGCAAATGAGTTGAAATGGAAAACGCCTAGCAGAGAGAAGCGAATAAATGAAATGGGTCAACGAGACAAATGATAACGATTGACGTTGGATAAAATTATTTGAAAATTGTGTTTTCCATGCAAGTGCGATTTTCAAATAATTTAGTGCAACATGAATCTTCATCATTGAAGACATTTAAAAAAAAAAAAACAAACAAAAAAAAAACGAGAAAATTAACTGTTAGCGTAAAACGTACGCTATTTATCTAGAAAAATGACGGGACCATTTAGTATTACGCTTAAATTTCTGAAATCAAGGTATCAATGAAAAAATCTCATCAGGGCACTTAACATGAAAATATTTATAGAGAATGTACAAAAAACGAGGTTACGGCGATGGGAAAGAGACTGGATCCGAGATGCCATTTCAGGAACTATAATATTGCTGATTCTTCTTTGGATTGTGTCCGGAGCCTCTAGATATACAGCAGAAGCACTAGACTAGACGTGGCATCAATAATCGATGCAGACATGAATGGTAGACTTGTAAATGTGGACAATAGATTCTAGGGAGAAAAAAATATGAAAATAAATGGCATATTAAAAGAACTATCCTTGCACCAGACATAGCAATAGATTCAATATGAGAGTTCCTCTTTATGTCAGTGGAAAAGAAAAGACTGAAAGACGCTTTATACACACACACACACACACATATATATATATATATATATATATATATATATATATATATATATACATCTCGCAGCCTTACCTCATCATGTGAATAAACTAAACAACATCGATCATATAATCGAACTTATTTAGGAAATAGAAAGTGAAAATACATTAACTTTACTTGATATCAAATTAAAACACACTGCTAATGATCTAAATAGACAACAGAATTAACTAACAAAATTATCTGATACGTGGCACAACAACAAAATTAAAACAGGAATATCAATCGATTTTTACATCAGAGCGCTTATAACCTTGAATATGAAGTGAAATGCATGAAAAATACGGTAAAACTTTCTTTAATATTCAAATTACTTCATATACACCGAAAGACAGAATGATTACTCAGTTTACCGAATTAAAAAAAAAGATAATTATATAATTAATAGTCGTAAAACTATACTCATAATACCTAAGACTATTTCTATAACGGGTACAAGTGAAAAGAATTTACAAAAAGTTGTAATATTTGTTACAGCCACGTCAAATCAATAACATTTAATTAACCAAATTAAAAACATTAAACCTCAAACAGGAATTTATAAAGTAAAATGTCACAAGAAATAGAACGGAGAAATATCTAAGAAAATAAATAAAATATAGACAAAATAAATAGTTTACAAAATAATACACTCACTGCGTTAGATGTTCGTTGCACTAAGTCTGACCATAATTTCGAGTTAATGAAACCAATTGTAAATAAAAGAGAAACTGATTCAGTAAGGGGAAAAATGTATTGAATGTACATTACAAATGCTAATCAAAGTACTAAGAAACAAGGAATTTCGTTAGACACACAAAAATGTTAAACTGCTATAACTAATCTCTATGGCAGTGAATGCTGGACAATGTTCTCAACAGATGAAAAAAAAAACTCGAGGCGACAGAAATGGGCTTCG